TATTATTATTATTATTATTATTATTATTATTATTATTATTATTATTATTATTATTATGCCTGTAGCACGGTTAGAATGGGAAACCTTTCTAGTTCATAACAGGAGCATGGAAGCTTGGCACTCAAATTCGCTAAATCTTCCAATAAAAACAGAACAATTTTAGGATATTCTTGGTAAGATCAGAGCAATCTGATTATTATTATTATTTCCAGTCTCAATCGTCGGTCATAAGTCGAAGACAACCGGTAGCCTTCAGCCAGATAAATTTTTTGCAAACAATGGTGATGGGAAGAAAAAGAAAGAGAAAGGATTCCCCCCCCCCCCCCCCCGCCCAGTTTGCACCATTGTTCCCATTTAAACCGCCCATCCAGGAACAGGTTGGAAGGATCTGAATATGTTCTCACAAAAACTCCTACCTGGTGGTTTTTCATTGTGGTATCCGAAGTTTAGGTGGGAAATTCAGTCACTCTAACCTGAGCACCTGCATTAAAGTCAAAGGCACAAAGTCACCTCAAGAGCTCCAGGGTATCACTCTGACCACTCAAGTTCTCTCTTGTTCTCTCTCTCTCTCTCTCTCTCTCCATCATCTATCATCTATCATCTATGTATCTCTATCATTTAACTTCCCCTCCATAATTCATCTATCATCTATCATATCAATCTATCTATCTCTATGTCCACCATCTATTTATCCATCTATCCATCCATCCATCCATCCATCCATCCATCCATCCATCCAAAAACCAACTATATCTGTCTGTCTGTCTGTCTCTAGGTCTCTATGTCCATCAACTATCTATTTATTCATCTATCCTTCCATTCATCCATCCACACACCATATCTATCTATCTATCTATCTATCTATCTATCTATCTATCTATCTATCTATCATCTATCTATCTATCTATCTATCTATCTATCTATCTATCTATCATCTATCTATCATCTATCTATCTATCTATCTATCTATCTATCTATCTATCATTTATCTATCTATCTCCTGCCTCTCTCTCTCTCCCTCTCTTTCTCTCTCCTTCACCACTCCTGTTTATATTTGTCATGGATACCATGATGCGTGACCCACAGCAGAACACACCCTGGACTAAGCTCTATGCTGTTAGAGCATGATGTTATGTTATGCTCGCCTCCACGACCACAGGCGAACTACAGCAGCAAGTTCAAACATGGAATGATTGCCTCAAACATTTTGGACTCCACCTCAACCTCAAGAAAACTGAGTACCTCAGAGAGTGTCCCCACTTCTGGAATGCTTCAAATCAATGGTGAAACCCTAAAGGTGGTGGACATTTTGGGGTATCTGGGATCCCACCTCCAAGGCAATGGCGACATCAATGGCAAGGTGCGAGCAAGGGTGAAGGCAGCCTGGATGCGTTGACGAGAACTTACCAGGTGTGTTACGGGACAGACAAATGCCACAACCTGTCTTAAATCTAAGATCTACAAGACAACCATCCGCCCTGTTGCACGATATGGCACTGAATGCTGGGCAGCAACAACAGGGACCGAAAGCTCTCCCCATGCCATGGAAATGCAAAGGCTCCGTTGGATATCGGACATCACCCTTCTTGATCCCATCACAAATGACACCGTTCGATAACATTTTGGTGTGTGGCACCAATTACAGAGAAGATGAGAGAAGGCCAGCTCTGCTAGTATGGACACGTCCCGAGAACAGCACCTCCCACCATGGCCAACTAAAGGTCTACCAACTAGAAGTCAATAGCCGGCAACCTTGCAGGCATCCAAAACAGAGATGGCAAGATACCATCAACAACATTATGCAAGCTGTGGGTCTGTGTTGTGGAGACACAGCTGACTGTATAAAGTGGCATTCAATGATCCAAAAAGCAGACTCTGTACCTGCGGAAATATGCTAGGAAGGAGGAGGAGGGGGAGGAGGAGAAGAAGGAGAAGAAGGAGAAGAAGGAGAAGAAGAAGAAGGAGAAGGAGAAGGAGAAGGAGAAGAAGGAGAAGAAGAAGAAGAAGAAGAAGAAGAAGAAGAAGAAGAAGAAGAAG